GGAGTAAACTGCATAACGAGGAGCTTCATAACCTGTACTCTTCTCCAAGTATAATTAGAATGATCAAGTCAAGGAGGATGAGGTGGGTAGGTCACGTAGCACGAATGGGGGAGACGAGGAATGCGTATAGGATATTGGTGGGAAAGCTAGAAGGAAAGAGACCACAGGGAAGACCAAGGCGTAGGTGGGTGGACAATATTAGAATGGATCTTAGAGATATAGGATGGGATGGTATAGATTGGATAGATCTGGCTCAGGATAGGAACCAATGGAGGGCTCTTTTGAACACGTCAATGGACCTTCGGGTTCCATGAAATGCTGGGAAATTCTTGAGTAGATGCAGAATTGGTGGCTCCTCCAGAAGGGCTCAGCTCCATGAGTAAGTCAGTAATCCATGTTAACATCTTGGATGTATCGTGGTAATTTCCTCTTGGGTCACCTCGGGTGTCATTAAGATACAGCATATTGGAGAGTGAAGGCTGGAACACGGAAACGTTTTTATTCACTGTCAAGAAACCGTGTGCCCCTATTGACGCAGCGATTTTTTTCTCTTTTACTTCCGTCTGTTCTAGCTTCTGAGCCAATCCTTGCTTTCTCAGCAAAGAGGTAAAAAAAAGAACATGATGAGAGAAAGGTTGTGAATGAAAACTTGAGAAGAACGTGGACAGTAAATTCGTAGTGAAGTTTAAGGGCAGTTACATCTACGGGGAGTGAAACCCAGGAACCTTCGCCGACTTTGAGATTCGGCCTCTTGTGGTACGAATCCTAACATCTCAGCCTTCGGTTCTCACGTCAACATATGCTAATAGACATATGCACTTAGGTATTGGTGCTAAATATGCCTTCAAGGGCCCTCTGAATATTAATTGAAGGGCTTTCTTTTTTATATATAAGCGTATTCATAAATCACATGCCCCACTCATGCTTCATACTCGTTAGTTTATGAATTTATATTTTGGCCCATAGGACTTTGTTATTTATTTATTTTATTTACGTATACTTCTTCGTGGTATTGTAAATATTAGTGATTTTGCAGTTCTTTCTTCGAAGTACTTAATTCATGTCTCAGGTTATGTGTTTTATACATATATCACTTGAATTCACGTATTAACTCATTTTACGACGTTTCGATCAACAGTATGACCATCGTCAGGTAATACAGCATTACTGATACCCTGTTCAATTTTAGAATCTCTTAACGTTCATATAACTGAATATATTGAAGATCCAAATACGTGCTGTGGTTTGTTACAAGATAATGGCCTCGGTACACTTCGCTCCTTCCTTCGGTCCTTGAGATAGCTGTGCTGTATGTTCTCTTCTTGAGTTTGTTTAGTGTTGTGTTAGTTGGTAAGTTAATCAACGGAGCAGAGAATCAGTATTACCTTCTCTCTTTAAGGGGAGGTGATAAGCTGTATCCCCGCGCTGTCAGCATGAATGGATGAGTGCATCAGGGGTGGGCCTCAATAATCTGGCCCTTGCACTGCGACCTTCAGTGTTCTATTGTGCTTCCCCCTCTCTGGTTAACCCTTTATCAAACCCACACTTCGAATGAAACTGAGGACTTTGTTTATGGGGCGTCATAATAGTCTCTCAGTTCCATAAAATTCTGGCTCATGTGGCGAAATCTTAAGTAAGCTATTGTGTGTGGCTGAACAATCTTTCTCCAGGCACCTTTCGCAAGTGGGGTCATCTGTCAGCCCCACTTTGAAAAGGTGTCCATTTAGGTGACAGTGTCTTGTAAATAGTCATGATACCCATCTTAATTGGCCTCTGTTTAACTTAAACAGATCATTCCTTCTTATGGCAGAGTCTCTTTGCCTCTCTAAGTGCAGTAATGGATTCCAAAGTTTTTTTCTTTTTGTGATTTCTGTTAGTCCAGTCCCTGATTTCTTTCTTGACAACTCAAACTGAGGTGCCGCAAGCTGGTTCAGATCCTGTGAACGGCTATTCAGACCCCGTTCCTGCCAGTTGATCTGCCGTTTCATTCCCAGCAGTACCCTCATGGCCTGGCACCCATATCAGTTGAACTCTGTCTTGCCAGTTGTGTGAGGAATTGGTGGCAGTGCAGACCAACCTTGAAGTGATTTGGTGTGTACCAGGTGCTTTAATTGCAGCCTGACTTTCTGATAAAACGAAGATGTTTCTGTTTCTGTGGTTCCTATCTAGATTCTCAACTGCCCATGCCTTAATGGCATACACCTCTGCCTGGAATAACATTGTGTACTGTCCAAGATTAAAACTAAGTTCATGCCTTGTCCCATAGCAATACATCCCAGATCCAGTGCTATTTTTTGTCTGGAGCCATCTGCATACCAGATTAGACCCTCTTTTCTGTTGGGCTGAAACCCCTCTATCAGGAAATCTGACTGTGAATGGTTTATGAGACCCCATCTGTACGATGGGTTCTTTTTCATGTCCTGAGTCATGTGTGCATGTCTGAAACCTTCGGATTTAGATTTACATTGATCATTGCAACATAGTCTGTAATTTCCTAACATGGCCTCTGCTTCCTTCTGCAGATGCAGTTGGAGAAGTCTTACTATGATTTCCATTGCAGCTGTTGGAGCTGTGCCCATTGCTCCTGTCATTCCCAAGCAGGCTATTCCTTGCAATTTGCTAAGTTCTGCCTAACTTTGTTTTGAGTTTAACTCTAGGCCACCATATAGTGGCAGCATAGGTAACTATGGGTCTTACTACAGCAGTGTATGTCCAGCACATCACTTTTGGATTCGGTTCCCAAGTTTTCCCGAACGTGCCTCTGCATGTCCAGAAGGTCTTGTAGGCCTTGTTGGTAAACTGGTCCGGCTGCTTCTTTCATATCAGTCCCATGCCTAATGGTAGTCCAAGGTACTTGACTTCACTGGATAGCTGGATGGTTTTGTTGAAAAGGATTGGTTCCTTAAGTCCCTTTGTATTCCTCCTCCAGTAAAGGTTCTAATTGCAGTCTTGTTTGGGTTGATAGACAAGTTTGTTCTTTCGCACCATTGTTGTACTGTGCGCATGGCTGTTTGTAAGACCTCTGACACAGTGTGAAGAAATTTCCAATTGAAAAGGACTGATATATCGTCAAAATATCCTACTGTGTAATATCCACTGCTGTTGAGCTCCCAAAGAAGAACGTCCACGGCCAGGCTCCGCAGCAGAGGCGAAAGGACACCTCCCTGCCGACAGCCTCTGATCACAGACGCAGCCAGGGTCTGTCCCAACAATCTAGCAATTACGGTCCTGCTTTCCAGCATAGCACAGATTCATCTGCATGTTGCGGGCTCAATGCCATGAATTTTAGCAGCCTGCTTTATAATATCAAATGAGGTTGTATCAAATTTCCCACTATGTCAAGAAATGCTCCTAGGGCAATACATTATTTTCAATAGTACATTCTATGCGTGTTACCACACTGTGAAATGCAGTTTCAGTACATCTACCTATTTGATAAACATGTTGGTTTCGGCGTAAAGGATAATTCTTCAATGCACCGTCCATTATGTGCCTATCAACTTGTTTGTTTGTTTGTTTGTTTGAAGGTGCCTAGCGCCCACCTAATTTTTGATTGATTTATCCCACATTTGGCCACTTTCCAGTCTCCCCTGTTCGTTATGAGTTCGCTTATGCCCAGCTTTTGCTGACTCTGTCCAGCATCTGAATCCTCAATCAGCTTTGAATTACGAACGTGAATTCTGATTAACTTTTTTTAGTGTCCCCTTTCCAGTTTAAGTTCCCTGACCATCGGGTAGCTTAACAGAGCTAACCCTGTTGCTCGCCTGTTTTGCCATGATCTTCATGAGTATGACACTGCCTGGTACATCATTTATCTCCTGGCAACACCTCCTTCACGAAGATTTTTGCTTTCCTTATTATTTTTTTGTAATAGGTGAGGATTTCCTTATAGGTGTCCCACTGACCTATTATTTCCGCTGCATTAAACAACGTTCTTTTTTTGGCTCTCAGCCAACTCCGTTTGTTATTCCACCGAGTTTCCGTCCTTGGTGAGCGAGTTGTCTTGGGTGAACAATTTTGATATCAGGGAAAGATGGACCTGGTCAACAGATCGATCTATGTCCCTTGTCCTGCATACTTCTCGAAATAATCTCCAGGTTCACTTTTAGGTCCTCTTTGTCCGACTCCCAATTGGTTCTCTTGGGCTTCCTGACGGTAACTTGATTTGTTGTTATGTTATCTATTTGAAAGCATGTGTATCTGTGGTCTGATGAAGACGGCTCATCAGATACATGCCAATTACTTAGCAGGTTTCATATTTATTTGTCTCTAGTGTCAAGTGAATAACCTCCTTCCTATTGCAGACCACAAAAGTATCTCCGTTCCCATGATTGAGAATATTCAGGTTCGAACTTACCAGAAATTCCATGAAGCTTTCTCCTCTTGGATTGGTGCCGGTGCTCCCCCACAGTGTGTGGTGTGCGTTGGCATCATACCCAATGATGAGTTGCCTTTTCGTGCTGTAGCAGTGGTCAATGATGTCCCTCACTTCTATCGTTGCTGGTGGTTCATCTAAATCTTATGGTAGGTAGACTGAAGCAGCAATACGTTCCTCACAGCCCCCGCCATATGTTATCCTCATCGTTGTTGCGCCTCTAGAACAGAAGTCCAGCAAAGGTAAGGCATTAATATGATTCCAGACATAAAGACAGGACTTTGCATTATTTTCAGATGCTACAGAATAAAATGTGCCTTCCCGTATTAGTTAAACATTTTATTTGGTCTCTGCATATCCAGGGTTCTTGAATAAGTGCTACATCTGCCCTTCCTTGAGCTAGCTGCTGGCATAAAGTTTCCACCCCTTATCCCCACCCCTCAACATTGGTTGGTTAAATCCTGTTGGAATGTTGAGCCCGAATGTTGGGGGAACTTTAACGGTACTCCAGGAAGACAACCCAAGTAGCTGAAGCTACCCCTATCTGAGGGTTCTCCTGCATTCGTCCCCTGCAAACAGTAATACCCGAGAGTCATGATGCCACCGCGTGGGAGCCCCCGGTCATATGACGCCCTTGCACTTCATGTTAGCTCAGCCGGCAGTCCCAGCTTGTCACACTGACCCAGACCCAGAGACTGATGTTGACCAGCGGGACCACGAGGAGGTGTCCCAAACTGTATCCCAACTCACCCCCCGGTCCATGACATGCTCCCACCAGGGACACAACCGTAGTTCTTCCAACTTCATTGAGGATGTCATTACTACCTGTAACGTATGAACTTAAGTAGGTTATACATTTTCTGAATCACCACCCGTACGTAGTGTACAGTCTAGAAATTTGGTACACAGTTACACGCATTTATTTAGTATCTGCTCCTATATTTTTATAATAATATAATTGTAAACAGATTTCTTATGATTTTCTTCTTAAAGATTAATATTTTCAATACAAAAATATAGATTCATGGCTTAATGTGTCAGAATTTTTCATTGCATTATACTTTTAAACAAATCTTGCGATTCTTTGTCTCAAAGACTATTTTTAAAAACATTTTTGATGTAATTATATTTAATGACTTCACAAACTTGTGTGTCAGACATTCAGTGAGCAGTCAGTACTTACAGAAAAACCATAAATATCTGTATACTGAATTTCAGGATAGTAGAGTTTGTAACTGTTCAACAAAATGTACCTTCTTGTTCCACTTTCACATATCAGGCCCTCTGTGCTGTTCTACTTAGAATTATTTATAAAATTATGAATCTCATAGACATTTGTCAGGACTCTTTCTACGGGTGATCAGCCACTACCTACAGAGGACAACAGAAACATAGCAGAAACGTAGACATCCATGCCCAAAGTGGAATTCGAACCCACTATCCCAGTGTTTGAGCGGGCGAAGACATTACAAATGTAGTACCTTAATGTGTAAAAATTAACATTGCAGAGATAGCACTTCTTGCTTCACTATAAGCCTGCCTTTTATAGAAGGGTGTACATTTAATCGTGCTTTTGTTTATTGCAGGCCGACGCACAATTCTTAAGGCAGTGAGTGGCAAATTTCGAGCTGGGGAGCTGACGGCCATCCTCGGCCCTTCTGGAGCAGGCAAATCTACTCTGATGAATATCCTCGTCGGATACGTGTGAGTACCAGTAGAAGCAGACTGACTGATAAAAGAAATTTCGTCAGCGTACAACATAAATTTCCTCAGGAAACACATGCCCATTCTGTGAACCTATAGAAGCTTTCGGATTTGAATAAAACTGCGTCTCGAATGTCGAAAATTTTTTGAATTTTTATTAATTTTCAAAATGTAATAACTCACGAAGTACATTAAAGAACAATTTGTTTGGGGATGTGACTCCTTGGTGTCCGGTGGAATTTTCAGAGGAACACACTGACTTTGACCATGAATGTTAGGGCAGTACACTCTTCCGAAACGTCGGTGACATTCTACTGGACTGCACAGCGTCACATCTCTGTACCGCTCTATTAAGAACCTCGAAGCCTGGCAGTTCACCCGTATTTAGATCCAGGATTTCAGTATGAAGTAAGACGAATATGTCTTCATTGCGGATGTTAAGTTACAGGTCGGAATAATGACGTCATATGTTCGCCTTACGTCACCCATTATTCCAAAACCAAGAGTTCGGTATTCCTTACAACATTATCACGTACGTATAGGAGTGACTATAGACGAGGTTTATATTGGTAATTGGATTTATTGAACTCTTACAGTACGTAATTATGAGTAACTATAGCGCTAACACTAATTCTCACACTTTGCAGTTCACTACAGCACGCACTAAGTCTTATAAGTCTGCTGTATCTTCACCGGTTGTCTCTTGGTGACGGCTTCCAACACCATAGGTTCCTCAGCTTCCGTGTTCTTGTCCTTACTGGCCGGCGACTGTCTCATAACTAAATTCCAGACTAGTCCTGCTTAAAACACCTAGATACGCACCACACAGAAAACACCTCTCCCAACAGCTCTATTGTTGCATCACGTAGCTGTTTCACTGACCGCGTAGAGAACACCGCTTCGCAGTTACTCCATTACTGCGTGTTACAAATCTGTTGCCTAGCAACGGACATGTTTGCAGAGCCGTTCCTAGCAACCATTGTCTCTGCTGCCTTCACGGTTCTTGCCTTGAGCAAATATGCCACAGAACTTACTGCTTTCAAAATGTATGATGTGATGTAGGTCAGTGATACACTCGCACTAGCTACGTACTCGTATATTCCAACGGAACGTGCATGCAGAGAGTTGCATAATTCGTCTCTAAATTGAAGCATACAATAAAAACATGTAATATAAATAAAGCATACTGTGACATCTAGATTCCTTTTCTAGGCAACGGCTCGGTAAACATATTCCTGCAGCAACGAATTCGCAGGCAAGGATCGGATAACTTCCCTCTCTGTGCAACGGCACTGTGAATACAGTAATAGAATCAGTGTCGCAAGGGGCTTTTTCTATGTGGTTCACACATATATCCATTGCTAGGCAACGGATGTGCTTTCTGTGCTGTTTTCCGACCTGAGACTATATAAGGAGAAGCCAATAATAATATTAGTTCGACACACCCTTGTGGAGGCGAGGTCGAATACCTCCACCGTGACCCTGCGAGTCGTAGGAGGCAACGAAAAGGGAAGTCTCAAATCTGAGAGGGTAGAACATGGTCAGGAGTCCCAAGGGACTCGGACCCGAGAAAGACTGCGCTGTCAAAAGCCAGCAGCATGTATAAAAGGCAGACCCGTCCTCTCGCCAGAGAGGGCAGCCCACAAAAATAAGACGTAAATATCAAACAGTAATAAATATCTGGTCATGAGCTCTAGATGGGGCTCGACACCAAGACTTACTGACTGACTGTCTGACTGACCGTCAGTCGCAATGTGACTTTGGCTTTGAATTGTCAGTTCAGTTTTCAGTCGAACGTCAGTTTGTGAAGAGAAGACGTAGCATGTGACCGTATATGTGCCGTAGTTACAGTGAGACTATTAGAAATCCGTTGCCAGTATATGACTAGTAAAGACTGAAAACGCTTAGCGCGTCGTAGTGATTTGTGAAGTGGAAAGATTAGCGATAGCGCTGTAAGGTGTTGTGATTACGAGTGACTGTAAAAGAATGTGTTAATAAAACCAATCATCCAATCCTAAACCCGGTCTTATAAGTCACCCATACACGTGATATTTTGTAATGATTCAGGGCTGTGAGAAATAAGTATTACGAATGAGGAAAAGTAACTCTGTGATAACCTATTATATTTATGCACTGAATAGTTACGATAGTTTAGGCCAGACTATCGACTCTTTCTCTAACGAGTACCACAAACTGAAGGTAACGAAAGGGATTGTGAAAATGCTACTGCTAGAGTCGGTAATAAGAATTCCTGTTCCTGGTACAAGTGGGAGCATGTAACCTCCTCTCCTCCTGTTTCCAGAACCATTACATAAGCGTGTGACATCAGTTGTTGGTTATAAGTTTCTTTGTTTTACTGAATTCGGCTCGTTATTCGCGTCTCGGAACATTTTAATTTAAAATGCGTAAAATAGAGCAAAATAACTAAGTGGAATGGTAAAAGTAGAGGTAAAGTTGTTTCTGTGCTTAACTGATTAAGAACTACGCCATGAAGACGTATGTGGGAGTGGATGTATAGATCCACGTATTCTTGACCTCAGTACTAGTTGGAGGTGAGTGGTCAGTTTCACACCCAGGCCGCTTAACCCTCCGGGGAAAGAACGCCCCATAACCATTGGACGAGAGGTTGGATGGGCCTCAGGGCCGGTAAGGACAACGTGAAGAAGACAAAATTCTTGACACTAAAGACACCCGAACTCTGATCTCGGTCGTCCAGCCCGTAGCCGTAAAACTATGTTGAATTAATAGTGCAATCTTANTGCTTAACTGATTAAGAACTACGCCATGAAGACGTATGTGGGAGTGGATGTATAGATCCACGTATTCTTGACCTCAGTACTAGTTGGAGGTGAGTGGTCAGTTTCACACCCAGGCCGCTTAACCCTCCGGGGAAAGAACCACCCATAACCATTGGACGAGGGGTTGGATGGACCTCAGANAGAACTACGCCATGAAGACGTATGTGGGAGTGGATGTATAGATCCACGTATTCTTGACCTCAGTACTAGTTGGAGGTGAGTGGTCAGTTTCACACCCAGGCCGCTTAACCCTCCGGGGAAAGAACGCCCCATAACCATTGGACGAGAGGTTGGATGGGCCTCAGGGCCGGTAAGGACAACGTGAAGAAGACAAAATTCTTGACACTAAAGACACCCGAACTCTGATCTCGGTCGTCCAGCCCGTAGCCGTAAAACTATGTTGAATTAATAGTGCAATCTTATGATGCGTCGTTTGAAATATACAATATCTGGGGTAACATTTGAAGCTTGTGTAATATTATGTCAGGTATAGGTAGTAGAGTCAATAGTTTTCTGGATTGGCCGCATAGTGGAGCTGGTATGCACTACAGCGGATACGTGGAGCCACAAGATTGTGCCGCGTCCGTTCTTCTCTCGTTTCAGCGAGAAGCGATCACATACGTTAGGTGTATTCAGAAAGAAAGTCAGTGTTGCGAAAAAAAAGTTATCTGCGAGCGGCGGAAGTCGATAATGTTGCAGTTTGAACAACCGGCAAACGTCAAATTCTGTCAAAATTTAGGCAAATCCGCTAGCGAAATGTTTCAGATGATCAAGCAAGCGTGCGACGATAAAGCCTTGGGCTGTAATGCTGTGTTTAAATGACACAAACGATTTGCACAGGTGAGAGACAATTTGGAATATGATGAGAATACCAGTCGGCAAAGAACGGCCAGAACTGAACTCAAGATCCAAGAAGTTGCAACGTTGGTGTGTGCCAACCGCTCCCAAAAGGTAGATAAAATTGCAGCAGCAGCAGGGATTAGTCATGGTACTTGCCACGGAATTCTGTCTTATGACTTGAACATGTCTCGTCTTCCACGCGTCCTGACCAAAGACCAGCGTGATGATCGCATGAGCTTTTGAGGTGACCTGATCCATAGTGCTGATAAGGATGGGACATTTCTCCACTGGACCATAACAGTAGAGGAAACATTGTGTTTTCTGCACGATCCGCAACTGAAGCGACAATCGGCCACCTGGAAATCGCCATCATCGCCAGGTAGGAAGAAACCGAGACAGGACAGCTCAAAAGGCATGGCAATGCTTGAACTGTTTTTCGACTCATCTGGAATTGTTCACCCGGAATTCATCCCAGAAGAAACGACTGTAAACAACCACCGCTACAAGGTGATCATTCAGTGGCTGCGCAATTCATTTCGTCGTAAGCGTCCTGAGCTTTGGCGCAGGAAGAACTTGCTGTTGCTACACGACAACGCCCCTGCACATCGCTATGTGCTTGTACAATCGCCTGATCTCGCACCATGCGATTTCTTTTCCTTTCCCGGCTTGAAAGAAAAGCTACGTGGGAGTTGAATTCACCCGGCCGAGGAGATCGTCACTGCTACAAGGGAAGCCGTACTGGACCTTCCTGCAAATATCTTTCAGCAGTGTTTCCAGCAGCTNCACAGTCTTATATTGCGGTGTTTATATTTATTTGTTGTAGGATGTTCCTATTAAATGTGAATGTTTGATTTCTGGGAAGTCTTTATTTGTGAAATATTTATTCAGTGATACAGTTTATGATTAAAACGGGGAGCCATAGCGATGGTATAACGGATGAACGGTCGGAATTTGATTTACAGCAGAGAAAGAGATATTTCTCTCCTCCACAGCGTTCAGGAGGTACTCGGTAGCGTTTTTACTTGAGGCACTATGCTACAAGCCGGAAGGTCGCGAATTCGATCCCCATTGACGTCATTGGAATTTTCAATTGACCTAATTCTTCCAACTGCACTATGAACCTGGGGTCGGCTCAGCCTCTAGCAGAAATGAGTAGCAGGAATTTTCCTGGTGGTAAAAGGCGGACGGCACGTAAGGCTGACAAATTCGCCGCCATCTGTGAGCCGATTGTCTAGAAAATGTGAGACTCGACGTCCCACAGTCCTATGGGCCTTCATGGTCTGCTATAGGGATAGTTTTTTTTTACTCCACAGCGTCCAGACCGCCTTTGGGGCCCACTCAGCCTCTTTTGTAATGGATACCGACGGCTCTCTCCCAGGGAGTAAAAGATATTGACTTAATCTTAGCCCCTGAAGATGAAGATTACTCGTATATGTTCCTCCGAAACTTCGACTGACTTTCACCGGACTGCACGGCGTTATATCCCAGAAGGTAGAACTCTTTATTAAGTCTTTAGTTAGCTCGTATATGTGGTATTAACTTCATTGTAACTTACATGTAATAACTTCCATAAAAGGTCCGTGAACGGGACATCTATTTACAGTGATATACGTAATAGGCATATAATTGTAATACCAGTCTATAATATAGCACGGGAGAAGCATGAGGTTTGACTTGGTATTTATGGTCTATAGAAGTAGCACATAAATTGTAATTCAAATTACATAAAGGAAAAACTTATATTATTTTGTTCTATGTAAGAGACACTAACTTGTCCTGCCTCAGAAGTGCACTGTCCATCACGACTTTTCTCCTTCCGCCTTTCGAAAATAACCTGTCCCTTTCTCCAACTCCTGTCCTGAAGACGGAGGCAGTAACAATAGTGATCTAGACTTGTATGTAGGAGTACTCGGTTCGAATCTTGGACAGGACACAGGTTGCCTTGACAAGTTTTCTACGGTTTTCCTCAGACCCTGCAGTCGAATACCGGGATATTACCTTGACTATGATATGCTTCTTTCAGGTCCTTTTAAATTCTGTATTCACCACTCGTCCTACGTATTTATCTGAAGCCATAGTGCTGACAGCATCGTAAAATAAACTACAATGGAGCAACATTTTCCTCCGAAATATTGGTATCTGAACGGTTTGTAATTCAGAAGACTTCTGTATGAATGTTTGCAGCTGTAAAAATCTCAGCCTTCAAAGAAATAGTTTTCTAACAGTGTTACATTAGCTAGAGTAGACCCATTGCAGCAAGATGAATCTCTATGTAAGATTTGAGGCTTTCACGGCGGTGGCTATGAAGAAAGCAGTCTACTGGGATTTGGCACCGTGTATATGTGGTGTTAACCGACGTTTCGGAGGAACGTATCGCCTCCATCTTCAGGGTAGAAGAAAAAATATAAGAAATCCGCAGGCGAAGAGACCGTGAGAACCGGTAAAAGCACACTGCTTTTACATTACAGAGGGAAACTATGAAATTCTTTTCTGAGCGTGTAACGTTCGCAATAAATTTCACTGTGGGCTCCCTTGGTGGCACGACAAATATCCATACTTGAAGCAGGTTTGGTGTTACCATAGCCACAGCGTCCCATATGCGAGCTTTCAGGTTTTGAAGTTCGTTGATATTAACCCGGTAGACAGTGTTCTTCACATAAATCAATAAGAAAAAAATGTATTGAGGTTAAATCTGGCGACCTAGGAGGCATGCGATTGGTCTACCTCTGCCGATCCATCTCCCAGCCATCTCTTTGTCCAGGGGATTCCTACCATGATGGTAGAAATGTGGCGGAGCCCCCATCTTGTTGGAGAATAATTTGAGGTGATGTTTGGGGCAGCGCATACAGCTCCAGCATGTCCAGGGACGAACGTCCGATCACAGTCTTTTCCGAAGAGAAGAACGGTCCAGTCAACTTGTCATGCATTAAGCCGGCCCTCACGTTCACTTTGGAGCTGCTCTCTCCAACTCACATGTGACATATGGATTTTGACTTCCCTGAATCGTACAGTTTTACTTGTTTACGGCTGCACTGACATGGAACGTCGCCTTGTACGAGAAGCGCACTTGGCGCACAAAATCGGGTGACGCGTCACGTCTTTGTAGCATGGCCAGAGCGCAGTTTGTGCGTGCTACTTGGTCACTCGGTGTCAGCGCATGAATCCTTTGAATCTTATACGCTCTTAAGCGGAACCCTTTATGTAGCACTTCATGCACTGTTGAAGGTGGAATTTGTAACTGTAAGCTAGCAGCACAAATTGATTTGCGCGGACTTCGCTGGAATGCCTCTCTAATGCGATTGACATTTTCATCAGGGGTCCGTGTCTTTCCAGGAGATTTTACATGCAACAGACTGCCTGTAGTCCTCAGTTTGTTGTCTCAGAACCAAATGATTTTCCGTATAGGAGGTTGACGTCCATGTTGCGTTGTAAAACGACGCTGGACAACCGTAAGAGATTGCAACTCTGCTATCCACAACACGCATTGAACCTGTTCCTGTGGTGTTGATATTGTTACTGAGATCACCGGAAGTCACCATCTGGCGCATGCGTGTAAACCGGCTTTCCGATAACATAAACCGGATACGTGTATGACAACTTGTTTTCGAGATACACATTTTTTATTTTGAATACTTTTCATCCCGACACTTCATATTAACCTCTAACATTATTATGTTCTTTGTAGATCTGCTGGAGTGTCTGGCACTATCAAGACTAATGGTCATCCTAGGCAACTGAAATTTTTCAACAAGCTGTCCAGCTATATCATGCAGGAGGATCTAATTCAGCCCTTCCTCACAGTGCAAGAGGCCATGGAAGTTGCAGCAAACCTCAAGCTCGGTGACGAATTGAAGTTTACAGAGAAACAGTTGGTTGTAAGGCAATACACCTGTACAATTTTAGGTGCATTTAAAACCCTGTGGAGAACATATTAAATTTACTCATGCAAATTCTTTTTTTTTTTATTTTAATTCGCTTAGTGGGGGGTGGAGTCCAACTGGGTCCACTCGGCACGGCTTCCACTGATTGGCCTATTGTAGCCTCCCCCGGGTGATTATGATGATGGAGAATTTGGTGGAATGAAGATTGGCAGGGGAAACCGAAGTACTCGGAGAAAACACGCCCCAGCGCTACTTTGTCCACCACAAATCCCACTTGACCAGACCCGGGATCGAACACGGGCCGCAGCGGTGGGAAGCCAGCGACTAACCGCTTGAGCTATGGCGCGACTATTCCAATTCTTTGTCGGTCCACTGTCTCTCTATAAGAAGAAAACTGCCAACTGTGAATGAATTTCTAAAAATTTCATATACAGGGGTAGCAATAATATTTATTAGCACTTTCCAAATTTTGCTAAGGTTGGACAAGAATTGCAGTCATTTTACATGAAAACCTGCTTTGGTTTCTTTGCACATCTCAAGGGTAACTTTCTCAGTATTTACAAAAGAAAAACTAATTTTAAGTGTGAGCAATAGAGAAAAATGAACACACATTTTATGTTTGTACACGTTTCCCATAATTCTTACAGTTTTCCAGATAGCGGAACAGAAGACTTCACATTTACATTTCCCGAGTTGTATGTTGAACAATTAACAGAAGCTCTTCTGAGCACACTCGGAAATTGCTGAAAAATTGACAGTTGATTTTTCAAAACCACACGTAGTTTACAGACGTATCATGTTCTTGGTAAAAATTAAATGAACATTCTTTCAACGTGAATTTGTGAATCTGAAGGTGAGCCGGGTTAGCGCAGTCCTTATAGCGACTGGCTACTGGCTAGATTACTGAGAGGTCAGGGTTCGAGTCCCGGTAGAGCTAAAAGTTTTCCCTTCTTCATGTCGTCCAGACCGGCTCTCAGGTCCACACAACCTCCTATCCAGTGGGTACGGGGGGTTCTTTCCCCGGGGGTAAATCGGCGGGAACGTGAAGCTGACCACTAACCTCCAACTAGGCCGAAATAAAAAAACGTGGATCTATACGGCCATTCCCCCATACGCCTTCATGGCCTAGTGCTTAATTAGTTAAGTACAGGGACAACTTTACTTTAGCGTCTGTACAAATGTATATACATAGGTCGAATAAAAAGTAGTGGCAACGCCTCTATAGTTCTGAAATGACTTTATTACCTGAGGTAAACACACTTACATTCCTTCAATATAATCGCCCCCCATGTGTACCACCTTCTGCCAAATTTGTGGAAGG